ATTATTTTTATCAGGTATTAATGATTTAGGTAAACATCAATGAAGTCTTGAAATAATATATTTAATTTATGGGGAAAAAGAGTTGAAGACTTTACCCAATATTGAAAAATTATCACCTTGCACTCACTGAATTTAATTAAACCCTTTTTTTTTAAAAGCTGAGTTCCCCTAGCCATACTCTCCTAATCATCCTATTTTCAGCTTGTCCAGCATAGTCAAAGTATCCATCACACACCATTATATATGGATGTTTTAATGGTTTTTCTGTGTCAACTCCTTATGCCATGTTCCACTTATGCATTGATCAACAAGGAAGAACTCATCCTGTTGATTTTCAAGTAACGACATTGCAAGGAAAGATTTAAAGAATTTTAACTCTAAGATGGATCATCAACCTTTTTTTTTTTTCACCTCTGCTCACCAGCATAGATTAAACTGGTTCAGATCTGATACATTTACTCTACATTTAAAGTTCACATGAAGTGAAATTAGGTTCCCCTTTCCCCTAAAATGTGTGTGCCTATAAGAATAAGTCAGAGTTGAAGTGAAGGTCCGCCTATTTTCAGTTATCTGTATTGGGGCTGAAACAATTAATCGGATTAATTATGATTAATCCAATTATTGAAATAAACCTCAATTAATTTAGTTATTGATTAATTGTTAACTGGAGAAGAGACTGTGAAACATAAATTCCGCTAACCCACTTGGAGCAGTAAGTATACCAAAACAAAAAAAAAGCAGTATTTTGCATTTAAGATAAAAAAAAAGTTTTTTTCATTTTAATTCTATGAAAAATCTTCTCTGAGTAACTCCTTGCAATCCGATTATTTATTGATTAATCGGATAAATAATCAGCAGATTAATCAATTAGCAGAATAATCGTTAGTTTCAGCCCTAGTCTGTATATCATAGATCATAACATTTGCATTGAAGTTGCTGTGTTCAAGTTTTAGGTCAAGTTTTGTGCGTATACACGCTTCATAGATTAAACTCCTGATCAGTCCTTGTATTTAAGAATTAGGCTATTAATTAATGGAGCCTGTCTGACATCATAAAGTAACCAAAACTATCTTGCATCATGCACAGATTTTAAGACATTCAAGAACAGATGAGAAACACTGTCTCGCTAACTTCAGGAAAGGGTAATTAAGGGTTTTGGCATTTGGCCAAAACTCATTGAGAGTCATTATTCATAGATCAGTCATTATTAGATAACAATTACAGAACCATAATGGAACCGATAAAGTTACACTGCAAAAACAGATCTAAAAATAAGTCAAACATACAGATAAGTATTTTTGTCCTTAATTTGAGCTGGTAAAATAGTTGTTCTGCAAATGGATTAGGTATTTTTGGCCTTGAAATAAGATAATTAGATATAATGTGTCTAAAATAAGATAAGTCATTTAATTTCATTGGCAAACTGACTGACTTACTTACTCTAGGAAGAAGGTAAAAACACTTTTTTCTTCAAGAATAAATTACTTGTATTAATCTTTTTGCAATGTACTGTCTACAGTAACCAAAAATTACTTTAAATTTAATGGAAATTAGGGTATGTAGTGATAACTAATCTGAAGGACATTATCAAGGTAAAAAAATAAGTCACCTTTAAGGACTGACCTTATCAAATTCTGGATTTGAATTTCTGACTAAGATTTTGTGACATATTCCAAAATAGGTTCATGTCATTGAATTAGTGTTCAACTCAGCCTGCATGTCACCTTAGAGTATTACAAGAGCTTTAGTAATGGGAGAAAACTAGTAAACGATTTTATAATGCTGTCATTGTTATAATAATATAATATCATAGGAAAACCCCTGTTCAATGAGTGAAAGCTTTGGAAAGTTTTCGTCACACATGATTGTTTCCACAGAGGATAAAGTTAAAGTCAACATGTCCCTCGGTTTATCAATGACAACTGATCCATCAACTAAAAAGACTATGGTGAGATGAAGAGCCACAGAAGATAAACATGACATGCAAGATGAAAATACAATCAAAGGACAATCAGATAATGGAATAAATACTTTTCAGGTCTGTGGTCCAACCATCCCCAGAGACTGCAAAAGTATCACCATGTACAATGGTTTGTGCTTTGAGATAAATCCAGATAACAGCCTCGGACAGTCTTACCCATCTGCTACTGAAGGTAGGTAAACAGTTCAGATCAGCAGCTATAAGAAACCATTCGGAATCATTGTTTGATGTTTTATTTCCTGCAGAGTGTCGAAGCGAAGCTGACATTGCATTTCTGCTGGATGGCTCTGGAAGTGTAGCTCATGAGGATTTTAATAAAATGAAAGCATTTGTGAAAAATTTAATCAGAGCATTCCTGGGAAAAGACACACAGGTGAGACTGCAATTTGGTTTAATAGTTTAATGTGTCTCAGAGAGACTATTTAGTTTGTTCTTTTATTAAAAGTTGGTGCTGTTGGGCATTACTATTAGGCTTTTGAACATCCAAAGATGTGACTGCTCTGAAAAGGGTCCTCATATAGAAACTGGGAATAAAGCTTTTGTCATTATTTTGATTTTTTAAAACCATTTATTCTGTTTTTTTTTTATAATGGTAAATTTCTATTGAGTTTTTAATTTGATTTTGTTTTTTCCTTCACTCATTTAAATGATTTTTTACCTTATTTCTTTTGTTTGTTTTTGCAGTTTGCCATTACCCAGTTTTCCAGTTATCCATTTACGCATTACCACTTTAACAATTTTCCATCACAAAACTGGGAATCTGAAATTGACCTAATCACTCAACAAAGAGGTGGAACACAAACAGCTAGAGCCATCCGTGAGGTTGTGTAAGTACCAAAAGCAGCTTTACTTCTACCTTTATACCTCATTTGTCTTATTGATTCCAGGATAAACGATACAAAAAAAATCAGAACAGTTCTGATAGAACCACCTTATTGTATACTGTAAAAAAATATAGATGTAAAAGAAGATTAAATCTTTGGAGTTTAAGCATGAGAGTTTTATAAAACTGAAAAAATTTTAATTTTTGAATCTACCAAAAATGAGATAAATGTCAATATAACAGCATGTGCAAGTTCCTGAATTTCTAAATTTAATCCATAAAATTTGTAATTGCTCACCATTGTTTAAACATACATATTACATCATATGCTTCATTTGTGAGAAAACAAATTTAGAAGTTATTATTAAAAGAAATAGAGTTACAGCTAAACTACAGTTATTAATTACAAATTGAATCGTTCGGAATGTTAACCTGAAACTACCTTTGAATATTAAGAGGTAAAAGTTAAAACAGAGGCTACTGATTGAGAATAAATTAGGAGGAAGGATATAATGTTTGACATGTTCTTAGTGACAGTTATCATACCTCACAATAATTATGTTTTCTGTGTTGAAAGCATGTAGTTTTCTGTTATTTTTTTTTTTCAACAGAGCTTAAGTGCATTACTTAAAGGGACACTATGCAACATTTTTCAGTTAATTAATGTGTTCCATAACCTTATGGATGATTA